CTTGCACTAAAACATATCTATTTTGTTTTCTCCCGTCTAGCCCTTGCCGGTCTTCCATTATGCCATGTGTATAACACTTATGTCCCTCTGATTAATTTTTGTTGTTAAAAGGTCAAGGATTATCGAGGCAGTTTTGCTTCGATGGACTATAGAGTTTGTTACATATGCCTAGATTGCATCTCTTTTACCTCTTGAGATGAAGTTGTGGGTAATATTAGGATTGTTGTAAAACTTATCTGTGGTGGCAGGTGACGTTATTTTTGAAGAATACACTCTGGAATATGGAAGTGACCGTCTTGAGATGCATGTTGGAGCAGTAGAACTTGGCGAGCGTGCTCTGGTGGTAGATGATTTAATAGCCACTGGGGGCACACTGTGTGCTGCAATGAATTTATTGGGTAATCAGTCTTTTGATATTATAAACAAGGTGTTGGTTAAGTTATTGGAACAGTTGACAGTTTATGCTGGACGAATGACTGGTGTATCCGTTGTTGATCTGCTTCTAACTTTCGTATTTCAATCGATGTTCCAGTTGTGTATAACGTATCCGTTTGTTATCTCTGGTTGACTCTCTAGACCTTTGGGCTGATTCTGTATGTTTGTTAATAAATGAAATGTTTATCTCAGAACGCGTTGGAGCAGAAGTGGTCGAATGTGCGTGCTTAATTGAATTGCCAGATTTACAAGTGAGTTGATTTGGCTCTTGGCCTTCCTGAGTTTGCATTGCTATGTTTAGAGCCGCTATTATCACTTCAGTGACTTCATGTCTGGATGTTGCAGGGACGTGAGAGGTTGAACGGAAAGCCACTGTATGTACTAGTTGAATACCAATGACTGGCGAGACTATATAATTCATCTGCATCTGTACTGCATGACAAACATGTACATTAGAGGTACATTATGGGCTCTCCCATCTCCGGAATCTGATTTGTTTCACTCCATCCATCCCCCTTTTTTCCGAGTTTCAACAATTAATGAATTTTGATGAAAACTTCGGTTATTGAGACTCGTTTTAGCTAGTACTAGTAGCATTAGAGCATCAAATTATGGAAAGCGCTTCGTTTGAAAACTGCTGTAAGACTCAGTTTCTTTGTTTTTCGTCGAACTAATTTATGTAGGAGAATTCTCACCCCTTCTAATCTCTCTTTTCTTCCCTCCCCTCCTACTCAACCCTCATCCTATGTTTCTCGCTGTTCATAACTGCATACATAGGGAGTTCCGTTGTTAACCACCACCACTAGAGGGAGTTTGGGCTTTGATTTCAGATATCAGTTGGGTGCAAAATGATTCAATGCTATTTCTGAATTTTTAACCCAAATATCAAACTCTCAAGACTCGCTACGGTACATGTCCCAATTTGACTTCTAAGCATTAAGTAAATACATGTACCGTACCCAAGTTTCAAACTCTCGTGTTCTAATATAACTTGTATTTTATATTAACCAGGTGAACTAATGCTGATTGACTCACAAGGCATCTTGTATTTTATGTCTATACCATTTGTAAAAGGGTTAGTCGCATACTCAAATTGGTCCCCGTCATTTAAAAATTGTCAAAAATTAACTTTAAAAAATTTTCTTTTAACTTCATTAAGAATAAGAGTAACTTACATGGGATAAACATGACAAACGTAGCTTCAAAGCAAACCTTGAGAGTTGGAGAACTACCATAGAGACGCCACAAGGAAAATACCACAAACATTCTTTGACCATTGCAATCGTCAGTACAGAAGCAGTGCTATGAGTCACTTTCAGCCACTATTCTAAAAATTTTTGCCTACCGCTGTCTAGGCGGCTGGCTACCATCTCGATAATCCTAGACATTTGAAAATTAAGAAAGGACGCATAGACCTGTTTATGCACCCACCCTAGACTACCTAGGCGCCTGTTAGCTTGTCCAGACCCGCCTAGGTCGTGGCTCTTACTTTGACAGAAAATAAATTTTGTAAGAGACTTGTTGAATACTTAGATGAACAAACATCATATGATTGTTTCCCATGTTTTCATTATGTTCTAATACTTTATAATCTATATATCGTTCCATTTTACAATTTATGTATCACAATGCAATTATGCATTTTTTTAAGTATAAGATGACACTTATTTATACGATATATAATAAATTTACTTAAATTCATCTAGTTTGCTAGGCACTAGGCCCTAGCATGCCGCATGACTAGCGCTTAGCGTCTTTTAGAACCTTGTTTTCAGCAAATGTTGAGTTTCATCCTCATAGTTCTTTGTCAGGCGTACAAACCATACAAAAAACCAACAACCTTAACCGCTCTAGATCTAAGGTTGAGTAGTATGCGATAGCCACTACAAAAGGCACTCCTCGATTGAAAGTGATCACCCCTAGGAGATAGTTAATACTATTGACTTGCTCGTTAGATTGTAAAAAGTACCAATTGTGTAACCATTCGTAACTTTATGCTTATTTTAGTCAACTTTTAAAAGATAGCTCAGAATATCACCCATTTCAATTAAAAGAAAACAAATTTAAACAAGAAAAACTCTTGCTTGTTTAAACATCTGTTTCATGTGCCTCTAGTCTTCTTTGATAGAGAATTTTCAATTTGTTTAGTTGTAGAATGGTAGCATTTAGTAGATGCAGATGGAATAATATTTTACTTTTTGCTTGACTTGAAAAACATGCATGGAATTAGATTGGAATTAAATTTTTATAGGGCACAAGGTGCACATCAAAGATTGTGATTTGTCACCAATTTACCTTTCATTTTCTCTTAAGCCATGTAATGGTTTGGGCAGCAAAACAATTGCGTGACTTGCGCTCTACTTTCCCACATTCAACCAAACTACGCTTAGTCAGCAGCACCTCCAGCAGCTGCTAAGACTAGTCACCGAGAGGGATGCCAGCACGACAAATCTCAGAAAATGAAAGGGACGTCTATCTCACCAGAACGACTTACATAGAACGAGTTTGTTGTCATGTGGAATGTACATATCTCACTTCTTATGAATAACGTACATATCTTACTCCTTGTGAATAATGTATCTTAAATGTATAAAGTTTATAATTAAATTCGTTTAATTTCTTTATCTTCATTTGAAGATCATCCATACAGAAAATCATTTGAATAAAAAATCGTTTAGTCAAATAAATGGACGGTTCATCGTGAGTATTACTGATACTCACACACCGTCCAGTTGTTTGATATATTTAGATGACTAAACAATTTTTTATTCAAATGTTATTATTTTTATCGATGTAATCTTCAAATGAAGATTAAGAATTTGAAACACTTTGAAAAGATGGGATATGGGGGGCCATATGGAACATTGCATTAGTAAACCGTGATGCTATATGACAGTGAACCTAGTACTCATAAATTGCTTTCCTAGTGCAGTTATGGACCCAGAAAGAGAAACCTTACGCACTACAGACGCTCCTAACCATATCCTAAATTTTTTTTAATGCATCTCTCTTCAGTCTTCAACAACAGCAGAAAATGTAAAGCCTTTTTACCGGAAAACAGAAAATTCAAAACCTAACTAACAAAACCAACCACCACTACTTATATTGGAAAAACAACATCTATGCTTTTCATTTTCTATCCCTTTAACAAAATCTGGAGAACTCGTCTATGTTGTGTAAGTATCGATGATATTAATACTGGGTCGTGACACTATGAAATCTCGACAATTCTACTAAGAAAAATAGCCATAGAGATGTACAGTTTTCTTTTTTTTTCTTTCTTTTATAAGATTGTACTTTTGAGTTGCACAAGTAATTCCTTCAACAGCAGAAAGAAATCCTTGTTGTGTAGGTTTTGAGTCTTGCTGTTCCTGTAGGTTTTGAGTCTTGTATCGAGTCATATATCCGAAATTACCATTCCGAATAATAACTCCAAAATAAGTATCTATATATTATAATTGACTAATGGAATTAGTTGGTGGCGACTTCATTTAGCTGCCGAATTACCAACCAATTTTATAATTGCTCAGAATTAATACTTTGTTCTGAAGTTGTAATCAATTATATATATGTTACAATATCCCGGTCAAGATACAGTACTGACTCTAAAATTGCATGCTTGATCTAATAACTGATTGATTAGGATCTAAATAAAATATTACTTTCACTTAATACTACGGTCGAGTTGTATTCTCTTCACTTGAAAGTGAGAGGTTTTAGGTTCGATTATCATCAAATGCAAAGTTGAACTACCTTATTATGGCAAACTCATTATAAAGCTTAGCTTGTTTGTTCAAAATAAATAATCGGGGTTGGAGGGATGGGGCGTGCTCTATCACGGATTTAGTTCTTTCTAAATGATCTAAGCATTAAGCAAGTAGGCTACAGCAGTAGTTTGACGATTAAATCCCATGAATCTTGGTTCTTTCGAACCCAATTTAATTAAGAGTGGAGAGCAGGACTGCAATAGTAGTTCAACGACCAAACATTTATGTGTTAGTCATAATCCTTGGTCAACTTCATCACCTTCATGTACTCTTTCTTGTATTCTACTGTAATTATGTCTCATAAATATATTGTTGCTTAAAGTTATTTTTTAATGAATGTAATGAGAAAAAGAATTATACAGTTAATGATTAGTTATAGAGTACAATTTTCATTATTATGTTTGTTGGTGATTGTTATAATACCAGTTTAAATTCCATATTGTGATCATGAAAAACGTAATAACAACATATTAATGCTAATTACTATGGATATTTCTATGAAAATGTCCACAAAAAAAAACTGGAACCGAGGGGTGAACTTTCTGACACAGTTGTTAAATATCAAATAAATTCTTATATTTCATCTAAATATCCGCCGATATTTTCACATATTTACAATATTTACACCAGTACTAATATTTTAAACACCATCTAAGCTGAGCTTGTACTAACAAGTTCATTATCCAAACAAAAAAAATCAGGTGGAATGTCATAACGGAAACAAAATCATGCGGTACAAACCCATTAATTACATTAGTAATACAGAAAAAAATATGAACATGACAGTACACAGAGGAATAAAAACGGCAAAGTGGTTAATTAAGCATTTATCAACTAAATTTTTTTTCCATAAATCACACCCAAAACATCCAAATAACCGATCAAAAAGTAAAAGAAAAAAAAATTGAGTTGATAAATGCAAGAAAAAGGTGTGATAGAAAAATCACAAAAATATATAGAAAATCGACATTGTATTTTTACAGTTTATAGATGATAAGAAAGCACGGCAACACGGCGCGTGAATCAAACACCAACAACTCGCCGTTGCCTCCGCTCACCGAGTCGAACCCGACCCGGCCATCCAACAACGACTCAAGCTCCAGCTGCTTCGAAACCCGACCCGCCACGACCCGACAAACCATCATCGCTCTCCGGCCCCTGGCCCCAGCCGCACCCGCGCTCTCGTGGGCCACGCCGCTACCGGAAAACGTGCAAATCGCTTTACCCTTTCCACCGTGAAACCCCCACACGCCGCTGCACGCGTCGTACACCCCGACGCCGGAGCTGGCGGGCCCAAGGCAGTGGAACCGCATCACCTCGTTTCCGTCCGCCATGCAGCGGGCATTCTCCTCCTCGCACTGTGCCCCGCCTTTGGACCCAGCCCGGGACCGCGCCTTCACGACCTCCCTGTGCTCCTCAAACCGGGCCACGGTCTTGGACCCGTTCTGGACCTTAAAAATCATCTCGATCCGACCAGAAAACGCCTTGGGGCCCCAGCTGGTGTGGAAGATAATCTCGACGACATTGCGCGACGGATGGCCCTCCGGGAGCTCCGTCAAGGACGGTAAAAACGGATCATGGGGTCGCGGTTGCCGGGTTCGGAGTTGATGGGTTGGGCTCGATACGGGTTCGGTTTTTGTGGGTCGCCCTAGGTGTTTGGGTTTGGACCGCTTGGGCGGCGGCAACGGCTTCGGTTTTCTGGATTTTGTGGTGTCGATGACGTCCTTGATGTTTTGAACGCTCTTCCTGCAACTCGCGCTGTTCATCAGATTTTTGGGGTTCGGATGGTAAACGTCTTCGAAGGCTCTCGACTTGCATTGCAGCGACTTCACCCACCCACTCGCCATTAACGGAGCTCTCGACAAGACACCGTTTCGTTCAATACCTCGTCGTCGTCGTCGTCTTCTTCTCTACTCTGAGCGAGGTTTTTCAGAGTCTCGGGAGAAAAGAAAAGAATGAATTTTGCAGAGAGAGAGATGGCGCGTTTATTAAATGGGGGTGTTTCCAACTTTCAACCGGGGAGGGTACGTAATTACGGGAATGCCCTTCTGAGGAATTTGGAATTACCCACGTGGATTTCTGTCTTTCTTTTCATGGGATGGGGGAGTTGAGGAGGACTGGAGGAGGAGGCACGTTGCTAAAATAAAACAAATTTCATCATTAAATGGGTTTAATTTGTTGGGACAAAAGAGAAAGAGAGAGGCGTGTGTGGGATGAGAATCTTTCTCTTCGTATCTTAATTGTTCATTGTATATTGTGCTGTTTGAAATTATTTTAGATTTTTTTATTAAAAATTAAACATAAATAGTAAAATGAATCAAAATATACAATGAACTGATAAGTTGCGAGGATATCCGCTGTGTGTTTGAGTGGTCACTCTGGAATCTGGGTACTATGCCCCATCTCTGGTTGTGGTATTATTGGGATTTTATATGGAATTGCAGTTGAAATTAGATGGAGTTAAATATTGTTTTTTTATTCAGTAATATTGTCGATACTGAAATATTTGAAGTCAAATTCTGTTCCCACATTCGTATATATTAATACTTTGTTATCTTAATTTTTCTGGAGTTAAAGTTCGTTCATCATATTTAAGAATTTTTTTTTTTGTTTATCATGATTTCAGTTTTTTTTTTTCATCATTTGTTGCTCTTATTAAGTATGGAAAGAGTGGTTGAAAACCCAACGGTTGAAATTGCAATTGTAAAGCATTATGGCTTGTTTATAAGTATTTTTTTAAATAATTAAAAGTGTTTTTAAAGAAAATATTTTTAAGTTTTAAAAGCACTTAAAGTGCTTTCTACTAAAAACACAAGTTAGGTGTTCTTACAAAGATTCACTTCATTTTTTTTTTTTAACAAATGATATTATTTACACTAGGAGGGAGGGGTGGGCTTAGCCTCACAATGAACTAGCAATAATATAGGTGCAAATTCGCCTTTGGCGAAAATCCAACCTAAAACCTTTTACTTACAAGCGAAGATGAATATCACTAAAAGATAGACCAAGCAGTTTCTTACACAACACGAAAATAACAGGTTTCGAGTCAACACGATAACTAATCGGGTAATCCGTTAATAACGGATTCTTAAAGGGTATACACGTGTTTAATTACTAAAAAAATTATTATAAAATACAATAGCCAGATTGTATATATTGGTATATTCTATATTAAATATATATATTCGTATTATTATTCTATATAAGTTTAAAAAATTAAGTTTTATTCATTTATTTATTTTTATTATGAGAGTTTCTTATTATCATTAATAGGATAAAATTTTACTTAACATGTTGTTGTCCAAAATTAAAATCAACTAGTATAGTATTAGTATAGGCAATAAAACATCCAACTGTAACGTCCCACATTGACCAACAAATAGGGGGTGATGTGCCTTATATGTACATGCCCACCTCCATTTAGCACGAGGCATTTTGGGAGCTCACTGGCTTCGAGTTCCATTGGAACTCCTAAGTTAAGCGAGTTTGCGCAAGAGCAATCCCAAGATGGGTGACCCACTGGGAAGTTCTCGTGTGAGTTCCCAGAAACAAAACCGTGAGGGTGTGGTAGGGGCCCAAAGCAGACAATATTATGTTACGGTGGAGTCGAGCCCGAGGCTGAGATGTGACAATTTGGTATTAGAGCCACTTTGACGTATGGTGCGAGTGTGGCAACGAGGACGTCGGACCCCCCTAAAGGGGGTGGATTGTAACATCCCACATTGACCAACGAAAAGGGGGTGATGTGTCCTTATATGTACATGCCCACCTCTACTTAGCACAAGGCCTTTTGGGAGCTCACTGGCTTCGAGTTCCATTGGAACTCCGAAGTTAAGCAAGTTTGCGCTAAAGCAATCCCAGGATGGGTGACCCACTGGGAAGTTCTCGTGTGAGTTCCCGGAAACAAAACCTGTGATGGTGTGGTAGGGGCCTAAAGTGGACAATATCGTGTTATGTTGGAGTTAAGCCCAGGATGTGGTGGGGGCCCGGACCGGGATGTGACACCTACAAGTATGAAAAATGTGAAAGAATATATGAACACTCGTGATTTATCATTCCTCCATGAGTAGACAATGGTTACACTTATATTATCGTTTAGATTTTTAAAACCCTCTAAACCATCATGAATAGTGTTTTTTTATTTGAGCGTAAAAGTAATAAAATTAATAATAATTATTGTAGAAGTGTAAGAAATGTAAATACACACACACACACACACACACACACACAATCACTCATAGTGACAAGCTTTACAACTTTCGTGAAGGGGTCAACTTCGAAATCCGACACTATAATCCATAAACCTTAAATTTGTATTTAACCGCCGATTGTCGTTTAGGCTTTATTCTTTATATTGAATTTCATTTTTAAAATTTTCTTTTTTGAAAACATGATCTTCTGGGGGATGTAGGAAGATATACGATTTGGATTTTTGATGTCACGTCCCGATATTTACGATTAAGTGAAATATGAGTCGATATTATATAGTTTGTAGAGACTATATAAACATCAAGCAATATTTTCACTAACGGTAAAACTTTGAACATAATATCAATGATTCAAACCGTTCATTTTCCTGTATCCTCTAATAGATCATGTTTTCTAAAAAGAAAATTTGAAAAATAAAAATTGGTGAGAAAAATGAAACATAAATTTAAACAACAATCGACGGTTAAATTTTTGATCTATGATTTATATGATTATAGTGGCACATTTCAAAGTTAAACCCTTCACGAAAGTTGTGAAGCTTGTCATTACGAGCGTTTATATATTTTTTCTATATTTTTCACACTTCTACATTAATTAAAAAACTATTAAAGACTTTACTTAAACAATAGCCATGTGATAAATGAGAAGAGAGTGCTAATGAAGCAAAACTCACTAAAAATATCATCAATATAACTCTTGAAGACAATATATCAAGCCAACGTTCCAATACCATTTCCCATGGTGATTGATGAAAATTGAAGAATTTGATTGTAAGAAAATGTGCAAGGTTCCAAACCTTGAAACATAACTCCCTTAATTTTGCAAATCTTTTGAACATTTGATATTTTGTAATATTCTAATGTTTTTTATTTATTTTTTATTATACTGTTATTTTGGTTATGTAAATATGTAATACTTGAAAGGACAAATGTGTTTCTATGTTTGAATGTGATAATATGATATGTATATACTTATTTAGTAATATATTTTTCATTTGATTATTTATTGGTTTAAAATATATTTTCCTTAACAGGTAACAGGTCGGATCATATTACCTGTTAATATTATCAGGTCGATTTCTGATCGAGTCATTTTATCTGTTTATTTTAACTGACGTTACACGATACGACCCGTTAAAATATTGAGTATGACACGAAAATAATATGAACACGAAAAACACTGATACGAATGCCAGGTTTACTAAACAGCAGCTCAAGGGAACCCAAATTTTGAATACAAAACTTAGTGAAAGAATGTGATTATGGTTACCTGGACAACGTTAAGTGTGGAAGTCATCAAGTTATGTCCCGAAGCAGGGGACTTTATTTGCTTTCATTTGAAAATAGACATTTCAGTTGGTAATACTACCTAACCTAGTCATGTCAGGTCATTTTCCAATCAAGCCCTGTTCATGAGATTAGTGCTTAATTTATGACTTTGTTTTTTTTTTTTTTTGGTCGAGCTTAATTTATGACTTTCCTGTTCTCTCCCCTCCCTCCATTTCTATTTAAACGATTATAATTAAGTTACGTCAACATCTTACTTGAATTTTTTATATAGAGAAAAGGTCAAAAAGAAAAGTGTGAGGCCATCTCCAACCGAGGGTTGGTCAGATGGCTCGTTTTAGCCCTCTGGCCCTCCAATATAACTATATTTGCCCCCGTCTCCAACAGAGGGCCAAAGGGCCAGATGACTCGTTTTAGCCATGTCACAAAAAACCGTCTCCAACCAAGGGCCATAAGGCCAAACATAATTGATTATTTAAATTTAAAAACTACAACAACTTAAATTTAAAAACAACAACAACTTAAATTTAAAAACTACAACTTATATTTAAAAACTACAACTAAAATTTAAAAACTACAAATTAAATTCGAAAACAACATTAACTTAAATTTAAAAACTACAACAACTTAAAGAAAGAAAAACGGGATGGCAACCGCCGGTTCAACAAATTATGACCTTAATCGCGCTAAGGGAGGGAGTTCTTACATCTTCATCATCTGTCATCATAGGGGTATAAAAAAATATGAAGTTATAGGGAAAAAATGGAATTTAAAAAAAAAATTGTGAAATAGAAGTTATAGGAAAAAATGGAATTTAAAAAAAATATGAAAAATAGAAGTTATAGGAAAAATTTTGTATATAAAAAAAATAATAAAACTGTAAAAAAAAAAAAAAAAAATTCAAATGCAACGGCTAGCTGACGTCAGCTAGCCGTTGCATTTGAATTTTTTTCTTAAGCATTCCTATCAGTTATAACCAACAGAAAAGATGATTTTTCTAGCCAGCCCTCTCCGATTCCGTGGAACCCTCTGACCTAGCCTTCGGTTGGAGATGATTTTCGGCCCTCTGGCCCTCTAGACCATTCGGTTAGAGATGGTCTGAGAGGAGGGAGGAGAAGAGAATGTTAACAGGAAAAAAGAGAATGGTAATAGGAGAGAAGAGAATCATACTTCAATTTTCATACCACATTTATACAATCTCTCTAATAGAGGAGATATTTTTTAGTGTAACCGTCATACGAGGTGATACACCACGTGTCCCTATAGAAATGGTGGGTTATGTCTGCTAAAAGGTTAATAACTATGACAAAAAAAAAAAAAAAAGGTTAAAACTTAAAAATTAAAATTTTCCATCACTTGCATAAAAATACGTGGTGTATCATCTGTGCTCTCTTCACAACTAAAAATTTCTCCTAGTAGAGGTAGGGTCCACAAACACACATGTACATAAAAACTATTTAAATGTGGTAA